CATTATTATTTCATACTGTTGAATTATGTCTGAACTCAGAGTGTTAGAGGTGTTGGGAGGCTTGCAAGATCAGGGCAAACACGGGGGACAAGCATCATCAAGGGGGTCCTGTGGGGGTAACGCTACACTTAATAAACCAATTACCCACACATCACTCCAGTACTTCCACCCATACTCCAATCCAAGCAGAAAATAACACCGGGGAAGCGATTGAGTATAACATACATAAACATAACATAAACATAATAAATACCTAAAATAATGAAAGCTTATAAAAATAAAGCACCAGCAGAGTGGCTAAATGGTTAGCACTTCCACCTGGCAGTACTAGGGTTGTTGGTTCAAATCCCAACCACGGCACCACCTGCCTGGAGTATGCATGTTCTCCTTGTGCCTGTGTGGGTTTCCTCCGGGGTACTGCAGTTTCCTCTCATACGTCAAAGACATGCTGGTAGGTTACTTGGATCCTGTCTAAATTGGCCCTAGTATGTGTATGTATGAATGTGAGTTAGGAACCTCAGATTGTACGCCCCTTGAGGGTTAGGGATTGATGTGAATGTACTATATATATGTAAAGCGCTGCGTAAATTGATGGCGCTATATAAGTACCTGAAATAAATAATAACGATCTGGAAATATATAAACATACCAACCCCACCTAGTGGTCAAAGATCATTACTACATCATATCTAAAATGAATATGGCTACTCTCATGTTCAGTAAAATATATCCTACAGAAATGCAAGCACCTCAGGCAAAACTGAATGTTAACAATAAATTATAAATATCCTAAAAATTATAAAACCATCTAATCTAACTACCCTCAGAAAGTAGATAAAACGCATTTTTAAATCTTTCTCCACATTCTAACCTTTCAGTTGCATGCAGTCTAACTCATAAATCCATCTAGTAGCATTCTGGGATATCTCCCTTTTCTTGTTCACATCCCTCCAGTGTCAGTCCCAAAGATCTTCAATTGTCCAGGATCTCTAGTACAATATATAAGGAAGTGTTTTGAGGCACTATGATTTTGTAACCTTTTCTTATATACTGGAATGTTATCCTATTCTTATACACAACTTGCAGGTCATCCAGCCCACATATTGAAGCCTGAATGAGCACTTCAATAGATATTTGACATTCGTGGTGTTACACTGGAGAAAATTCTTAATTTTATATTCCCTATTCGTGTTATTAGATCTGAAACTATCTATTTTCTTCCAGTTATACTTTGGGTGGACCTACAAGCTTTACATCTCTTGCATGGATAGAACCATACCAGACCAAACATCTGACCACTCCTTACCCTAGGGGATGAGACCGCATTTCGGACCAACTTGTTCCTCAAGCACTCTCCTGTAAATTATTTGGGGTTATTTAGGTTTTTTGGTACCATGCCTAAAACTCAGTTTTTTTTTGTAACATAATTTCCCTTTGGTATTAATACAGTATTCTGATTCTGAATAGACCAATGCCTCTTAATAACGTCCTCGACCTCTTTGTACTGACTAGTATAGTCAAAGACAAAAGTGAAATACAAATGTTTCTTTTCCCTCTTCTTTTTATGATCACAAATTCTATACCCTCCACTTCTGTGACCTTCCTCAATCCTCCATCTCAGTTGTTTCAGTTTCTCATTATCGTATACTTTCACCATAAATTTCAGACTGACAGAGTATTCAAATTTGGTACAGTTCCAAATGGTGTGAATAAAAATGAACTGTGCCAAATTGGAAGTATCAGCAACACAACTTTCTACCTAGGTGCTACCTAGAGCAGATAACAATGCCAAATGGTCACATCCAGAAATACGGACAATGGCAGAATGACAAAAGCTTGCTATTTTATCTAATTGGTGTATTGCTGCATGTACAATTTTTTTAGGTGCAAAAAATACAGAGCTAAACCACTTCTGTTACACCAAAGTTTGTTGTACTCTTATCTTAAAGCTAAAGTTTTGGTATGACAGTCATTACATAGTTACATTGGTCCAACTTGGACCTTTGTTTCTCCACAAATTTCCATATAATTCCATTAGTCTGAGAATGAAAGTCAAATTTGGTACAGTTCCAAATGGTGTGAATAAAAGTCCATCAGAATGTAGAAGATGATGTCCTATTTGGCATGTTAAATGTTTGGGTAGTGTAAAACAGGATGTAGGCTAATGGACTTTGGACTTTGTCTTCTGTAATCTTAAAGTGCTTGGCATCATCAAAGGCATTCCACTCTTTAGTTCCAGGATGCTTGCAGTATGCAGTGTAATGGCCAGATTCAAGCTCTCCATAGTGGTTCTAGGAAAAAAGTTGTTAAAGCAGAGATTATTTTGCCATTTGTTATGTCATCTCTGTATATTGGTAATACCAAGTAGGTATTTATTTGTTTTGTTTGTATCCTATGAGCTTGTTCTGGGTATCCAGGGTATGTAGACTATAGGCTTTTTTTTTTTACTAGGACACCTTTGGTGTATGACTTTGATATCCCTTATGTGGCAAAATCTAGCAACATCAATGGTAGGTACATTAATGGGTATGTGGGAATGTTGTCATAACAAATTGAGCATTTTTGTGGAGTTTTGGTGTTATTGTGGGGAATATGACAGATTCAAGAGATACAACTATGGGGAATCTTGGGTCCTATAAGTGTACAGGGACAGAAGAGATGGCAGTGTAACATGTAGGGATGTTAAATTAATATTTAGGGACTACAATAATTGCAAAGTAAGTTACTAACATCTTAAGTAACCAAGAAATCAACTTGTGTGTGGTTTCACACAGTGCAGCCCAATATATCTGTGGCATATAGATAAAGGAGGGTGATGTATGGATTGAGGTATGTGTGTGCGTGTGTGCGTGTGTGCGTGTGTGCGTGTGTGCGTGTGTGCGTGTGTGCGTGTGTGCATGTGGTCCTCTTAGGCCGAACCATCTCCACTACAGGAATGCTCCTACTAATGGAAATTCAGCTAAACATATCCATGTGCACTACTAGTGTCTTGCAATGACAACATTCAGGAAGGTGAATAAGGCAAGCTAGGGATAATAAGCATATCTGCTGTTTTCTTCTACATATTGGCTGTAGGTATACATGTCAATGCACCATAGTTACATACAGTTACATAGTTAGCCAGGTTGAAAAAAAGACCAAAGTCCATTTAGTTCAACCAATAGAAAAAAATACAGTAAATAGATAACCCCCATATATCCACAGTTGATTCAGAGGAAGGCAAAAAACCCCAATAAAACCTGATCCAATATGTTCCAGCAGGGGAAGAAAATCCTTCATGATCCTGTTAGGAATGGACTGGCCAGCAATGGTGGGACTCACCTGCCTTTTGATCTGCAGTACCAGGGCTGGCCAGCGGGTGCTCCCAGCAATCAGAGACTCAACCTTTCAGCCAGCTAACACCTGGAACTGATGATGCTGGGGTATTTAAGGGATGGCCAGACCCACAGACTCTGCCTTGGTGTTGTGTTTGTCCTGGGCCCTGTATCTGTCCTGCATCCTGTTTCTGTCCCTCTGCCTGACCCTCTGTACTACGCTGCTTGTTACCTGTTTTGATCTCTGGCTTGTGACCCTGACCATCCCTCTGCCTGACCCTCTGTACTATGCTGCTTGCTACCTGCTGAACCTGGCCTGTGACCCCGACCATTCTCTGCTTGCTCCCCCTGTACCTACCTGCCCAATTGATATTGACCCGGCCTGCCTGACGACGCTTGCTTGTATGTACTGTTATCTGTGGGTGGTTTGGTTTGGTTTGTTTGCACTGTATTATGTTTAGTATTGCACTGCGTTTATGTTTGTATGGTTAGTGTTAATAAATTGTATTGTTTATCACATATCTGAAGTCTGCATTTCCCTGCATCAGTCACACACCTCTGGTCATACCTGGGAGCCCTGACATTACACCAAGGCCAATCCTGACCAGAAGTGGCTGCACAGGGAAGCCATCTTGGCTTGTTGATGGGAAGGATGGATCTTGATGAGGTTGAATATTTATATCTGCTAGTGTTTGATGACAGGGAGTATGCTTATCAAACTCTGAAGGAGTATACCCGGGATGAACTGCTAGAATGTATACGGCTCGCTCATGTTCTAGTAGATCAGGGCACAGAGTTCTCTGAGGTGCAGCCTTTGATTGAGGTTTGTGCTGAGTTGGTTTCATCTGGTTCCCCCGAATGCAGGGATGAATTTTTGCACCATTTAGTGCAGACCAGGTAGAGTCCCTGGTGTGGTTATTAGAGGATGATGTGGGTTACTTTCTGGAGCGTTATTCCACATGTTCACCACAGACACTAAGAGATTGTATAAACGCAGTGCAGTCATTGACCAGACAGGCTTTGTGTAAGCTCAGCTTTGTTCAACCCATACTGCAGACATGGACAGACTTGTTGCACCCAGCCTCAGTCAGCTTACAAAGACCCAGTCCTGCTTCTAATCTATTTCCTCAAAACTCTATTCCTGCATTCCCAACAGCTCCTCCTGCCCTGCTATCTACCGCATGTCAGTACCCTGTTCCCACTCGCTGCACCTATCCTGCCTTTAACCCTGTAAAAGAGCCCTCTGTAGCAACCGCTCCCTCTCCTGTTCCATCTTCCAGTTCTTCTCTGTCTCCAGCTGCTCCATTCGTTTGCAGACCTGCGTTTACTTGCAGTGCTCCAGTAGTTAAAACCAGAAAAAAGCGAAAATTCTTTCCAACCAGTACCATCCTGCCAGTATCCAAACCGGTGAGCCTGCCTTCCGTGGTTCAGCCTGAAGCCTCTACTCAGCCTGAAGCCTCTACTCAGCCGGATGCCTCTACTCAGCCGGATGCCTCTACTCAGCCGGATGCCTCTACTCAGCCGGATGCCTCTACTCAGCCGGATGCCTCTACTCAGCCTGATGCCTCTACTCAGCCTGATGCCTCTACGCAGCCTGATGCCTCTCTTCAGCCTGATGCCTGTATGCAGCCTGATGCCTCTCTTCAGCCTGATGCCTCTACTCGGCCTGAAGCCTCTACTCGGCCTGATGCCTCTACTCGGCCTGATGCCTCGACTCGGCCTGAAGCCTCGACTCGGCCTGAAGCCTCGACTCGGCCTGAAGCCTCGACTCGGCCTGAAGCCTCGACTCGGCCTGAAGCCTCGACTCGGCCTGAAGCCTCGACTCAGCCGGACGCCGGCATTCAGCCTGATGCCTCTACCCAGCATGATGAACTGATCCAGCCTGACGATCCTATTAGGCCAGTTGACTCGATGCCCGCTGTTGATCCAGATGATCCGGTACCTGATCCGGTGCCCGCTGTCGAGCCAAATGACCTGATGCCTGGTGACCCAGTGCCCGCTGTCATACCTGGTGACCCGATGCCCGCTGTCGAGCCAGACAATCCGGTACCTGATGACCCGGTGCTCACTGTCGTGCCTGTTGACTCGGAGCCCACTGCCTTGCCAGATGACGCGGTGCCCGCTGTCGAGCCAAATGACCTGATGCCTGGTGACCCAGTGCCCGCTGTCCAGCCAGACGATCCAATGTCTGACCCAGTGCCTGCGGTCATACCAGTTGACTCGGAGCCCACGGTTGTGCCTGGTGACTCGGTGCCTGCCGCCCCGCCTGGGGGCCTGAGACCTGTCGTTCCGCCTGGGGGTCCGGCGCCCGCCACTCCGCCTGAGGGTCCGAGACCTGTCGCTCGCCCGCCTGGGGGTCCGGCGCCCGCCGATCCGCTTGAGGGCCCGAGACCTGTCGCTCCTCCTGGGGGTCCGGCGCCCGCCGCTCCCGCCTGAGGGCCCGAGACCTGTCGCTCCGCCTGGGGGTCCGGCGCCCGCCGCTCCGCCTGAGGGCCCGAGACCTGTCGCTCCGCCTGGGGGTCCGGCGCCCGCCGCTCCGCCTGAGGGCCCGAGACCTGTCGCTCCACCTGGGGGTCCGGCGCCCGCCGCTCCGCCTGAGGGCCCGAGACCTGTCGCTCCCTCCTGGGGGTCCGGCGCCCGCCGCTCCGCCTGAGGGCCCGAGACCTGTCGCTCCGCCTGGGGGTCCGGCGCCCGCCGCTCCGCCTGAGGGCCCGAGACCTGTCGCTCCGCCTGGGGGTCCGGCGCCCCGCCGCTCCGCCTGAGGGCCCGAGACCTGTCGCTCCGCCTGGGGGTCCGGCGCCCGCCGCTCCGCCTGAGGGCCCGAGACCTGTCGCTCCGCCTGGGGGCACGATGCCTGTCGCCCCGCCTGGGGGCACGATGCCTGTCGCCCCGCCTGGGGGGCACGATGCCTGTCGCCCCGCCCGGGGGCACGATGCCTGTCGCCCCGCCCTGGGGGCCCGGCGCCTGCCGCCCCCCCTGGGGGCCCGACGCCGGTCGCCCCGCCCGGGGGCCCGGCGCCTGCTGCTCCCGCCCGGGGGCCCGATGCATGTCGCCCCGCCCGGGGGCCCGGTGCCTGTCGCCCCGCCCGGGGGCCCGGTGCCTGTCGCCCCGCCCGGGGGCCCGGTGCCTGTCGCCCCGCCCGGGGGCCCGGTGCCTGCCGCTCCGCCCGGGGGCCCGGTGCCTGCCGCCCCGCCCGGGGGCCCGGTGCCTGCCGCCCCGCCCGGGGGCCCGGTGCCTGCCGCTCCGCCCCGGGGGCCCGATGCATGTCGCCCCGCCCGGGGGCCCGGTGCCTGCTGCCCCGCCCGGGGGCCCGGTGCCTGCTGCCCCGCCCGGGGGCCCGATGCATGTCGCCCCGCCCGGGGGCCCGGTGCCTGCTGCTCCGCCCGGTGGCCCGCTGCCTGCTGCTTCGGCGCCTGGTAATCCGATGTGCCTCTGCCCGGAGTCCTGCCCGATGTGCCTCTGCCCGGAGTCCTGCCCGATGTGCCTCTGCCCGGAGTCCTGCCCGGAGTCCTGCCCGATGTGCCTCTGCCCGGAGTCCTGCCCGATGTGCCTCTGCCCGGAGTCCTGCCCGATGTGCCTCTGCCCGGAGTCCTGCCGATGTGCCTCTGCCCGGAGTCCTGCCCGATGTGCCTCTGCCCGATGTGCCTCTGCCCATGTGCCTCTGCCCGGAGTCCTGCCCGATGTGCCTCTGCCTGATGTGCCTCTGCCTGATGTGCCTCTGCCCGGTGTGCCTCTGCCCGGTGTGCCTCTGCCCGGTGTGCCTCTGCCCGGAGTCCAGCCCGGTGTGCCTCTGCCCGGAGTCCAGCCCGGTGTGCCTCTGCCCGGAGTCCAGCCCGGTGTGCCGCTGCCCGGTAGTCCTGCCCGGTGTGCCAGTCTTTGATATCCCGCCAGTTACCAGACCCAGGCGGTGGAACATTTTGCCCAGCTAGGACTGTTTGGAGCGTCCTGAGGCCGCTCCTTGGGGGGGGGGGGGGGTACTGTTAGGAATGGACTGGCCAGCAATGGTGGGACTCACCTGCCTTTTGATCTGCAGTACCAGGGCTGGCCAGCGGGTGCTCCCAGCAATCAGAGACTCAACCTTTCAGCCAGCTAACACCTGGAACTGATGATACTGGTGTATTTAAGGGATGGCCAGACCTTGCAGACTCTGACTTGGTGTTGTGTTTTTGTCCTGGGCCCTGTATCTGTCCTGCATCCTGTTTCTGTCCCTCTGCCTGACCCTCTGTACTACGCTGCTTGTTACCTGTTTTGATCTCTGGCTGTTGTGACCCTGGACCATCCCTCTGCCTGACCCTCTGTGACCTCTACTACGCTGCTTGCTACCTGCTGAACCTGGCCTGTGACCCCGACCATTCTCTGCTTGCTCCCCCCTGTACCTACCTGCCCAATTGATATTGACCCCGGCCTGCCTGATGACGCTTGCTTGTATGTACTGTTATCTGTGGGTGGTTTTGGGTTTGGTTTGTTTGCACTGTATTATGTTTTAGTATTGCACTGCGTTTATGTTTGTATGGTTAGTGTTAATAAATTGTATTGTTTATCACATATCTGAAA